CGTCGGTGAAAACTAGAAACTATTCCCCTAGGAAAGGACCAGCAAAATCAATATGCAGTTTTTCCTAGGGTTGTTCGGGTGTCGGCCAGTGGAAATATTCTCGAATTGGTTGGTTCAAAAATTTCTGACACAGAGAACACTCGTTGACTGTTCTGACAATGTCATTGTCTATGTAGGGCCACCAAGCATGCAGTCTTGCCAGAGTCTTCATGCGCACAATGACGTCATGTACCGCATCAAGCTCGTGCAGTACTCTTCCTCGGCATGCTTCTGGAATAACAACTCTTCGGCCCCACAATAAACATTCTTCCTCCACCGTAAGTTCCAACTTCCTCTTGAAGCATGCTTCCATATCTGGACTTACGTTCTCAGGCCATCCGGTCTGAGTGAATTTCAGGGCCTTGCTGTACAGTTGGTCTTTCTCTCCTGCCTCCTGCAGAGTCTTCGTGTCTACTGGACACTGGTCTAGCTGTCTCAAGTAGAAACTTGTGGCATAGTCATTCACCTTTTCTCTTTGTCCGTCAGTTGGCAGGCGAAATAGGGCATCAGCGTTCAGATTATCTTCTGATTTCTTGTAGACCATTGTATATTGATATGCTGACAGAAGCATTGCACAACGTTGCAATCTTGCAGCTGCTTTTGTTGGAATGCCTTTCTTGGGTCCAAGGATGGTTGCCAACGGCTTGTTGTCGTTTACCAAGATGAAGTTACGTCAATATATGTAGTCATGGAATCTCTTCACTCCAAAGACGATCGCTAGAGCTTCCTTCTCTAGTTGAGCATAATTCTCCTCTGCTCGAGCAAGTGTCCTTGACGCATAAGCAATAGGGCGTTTTGTCTTGTCCGGGTACACGTGCGCTAACATGGCCCCAACTCCAACTGGGGAAGCGTCGCAAGACAAAATCAGTAGTAGCTCTGGATCAAAGTGAGCCAACACTGAGGCTCAGCTAAAAATTTCCTTGAGTTCCTGGAATCTCCTGTCGCACTCCGGTGACCAGTTTCACGGCACGTCTTCATGCAGCAGAAGCGTGAGCGGCTTTACAGTCGTAGACAACTTAGGCACGAAACGTCCATAGTAGTTTACAAGTCTCAGGAGCGATCGTAGCTCGCTCACATTCTTGGGAACCGGTGCTTTCTGTACAGCCTGGACCTTTTTCCTCATTGTGCTTATTCCAGAACCGCTAACTGTATGTCCCAGGTAGCCCACCTTGTCTTTCCTGAACAGTCACTTCTTTTTCGCTAGCCGAAGTCCACGATCCTTCATGTGCGTTAGTACTTCGTGCAGTCTCTCTAAGTGCGTTGTATCGTCCTCTGCGGTTACCAAAACGTCGAACAGTAACACGCAGACACCTGGAATCCCTCCCAATAGTACATCCATTTGTTTCTGGAAAATGACAGGGGCGGAGGCGATCCCATAAGGTAGACGCTTGTATCTGTAGAGTCTCTTATGCGTCTGTATGGTGACCATACTGGCGAGACTTCTCATTCAACACCAGTTGCTCGTAGGCGTGTCTTAAATTCAACTTAGTGAACTTCTGCCCACCGTTCAAAGTCGTGAACAAGTCATCGGCTGTTGGCAGAGTGTACTGGTCCACTTCAAGTTGTGGATTTACCGTGAGCTTGTGGTCGCCACAGATCCTGACCTCTTTCTCTCCTTTTGGAATGTTGACTATGGGCGTTGCTTATTCACTGTATTTTATTGGCTCGATGCCGTCTCTTTTTACCATGTCATCTAACTGTGCTTCGATCAGATGCTGGAGTGCATAGGGAACTTTCCGACTTTTCATGAACTTTGGTTGGGCGTCTGGCTTCAGCTGCAGATTGACTCCAACTCCTTTGAAGCACCCTAGTTCCGCTTTGAAAAGTTTGTGCACTCGGCCAGGATGCCTTCTAAGCAATGCGCATCTTTCACAGTATTCACCTGGAGTGCTGGCATCCATGTCTCGTCCAGGACTTGTATCCAATTTCTTCCCAACAGTGGTGGCACCTCTGCATTCACCACGACTAGTGGCAGCGTCCAGGTCTCCTGGCTGCATGTGAAATGGGCATCAGCAGTACCACAGACGTTCAACCTTTGTCTTGAGCAACTGCGAAGCTTGGTCCTGAAAGGCTCTGGCTACAGTGACAGTGATTCCAAAGCGGCTTGCAGCCGTTTTGGAATCACTGTCACCGTAGCTCCGGTGTCCACCTCCATCTCCAGAGTCATTTCATTAATAAAGACGCGTTTCTTGAAGGGTGGTGCAGTCAATATTTCCGCGTTTGTCCGCAGGACTAGATATTTCTCCGCTCCCTCTTCCTCTTTCAGCTGTTGCACCGCTCCCTTTCCTTTCTTGGCTGGTCGATTGCGTTAGCCGTTTCCGTGCTGATTTGACGTTTTCCCTCCTGTTTGTTGAAGTGAGCCTGGGGATGAAAGAAGGCGACAACGATTAGAACTGGGGGGAGAAGGAAGAAGAAGTAAGATAGAATAAACAAGTCTGATAAGCTTCCCCAGTGTAGCAATAATTTGTAGACCCCTACAAATTTGGCGCAGTCGACAGGATCAGCAAAATGTGGGTAACCTTCAACATAGATCCAAGCTCTACTAAAACAAATTGTATTTTTGAGTTCGAATGTTCAAGATGATGCCACGACAGATCTTCCTCGACGTATCAGTACACCAGAGTTGGTTGAGCTGGTCACACAAAGGGCAAAGAAGTCAACCACGGAACTTCTCAGCTCCAGATCCGTCAAGGTAAACCTGCAACTATCAGTTTTCGAAGAAATGGTGCTACAGCCATGTCGGAGATTATCGGAAGAGACTTCGGTATCTACCTTGAGCACGGCAATGATGCTACAAGCCCTGCAGCTACAGCAACAGCAGATAACCCAGCAAAATGAGCTGATGCAGGCCATCGCATCCTCCATAAAAGAAAAGGAGAAACCTAGATTTGAAACAGTGAAGCCAGACATGTTTGACGGATATTCATCGAGTCCGGAGGGATGGATTGACTTCTATGAGCAGGCTTCAGAGAAGAATTTCTGGAACTCGGAGCAGGACCGCATCAAGAACATGCGCCTTTTTTTGACGGGCGTGGCAAACAAGTGGTTTGAACTTTGCCTAGTGGACCACCCGCAAGAAAGCTGGAATGATTGGAAGGCAAGTTTTCTCACCAGTTTCAAGAGGAATCCCGTAGATAGATGGGATCAAGCTATCTTCTGCAAGTACAAGACAGGTCTGATCCTCGAATATATTTTTGAGAAGAGAAAGCTCCTTCAATTTGCCGAACCCCACCTGCCAGAGTCGGCAATGATATCATTGATACCTCATGGACATCCACGTGAAATCCAAGAAGAAGTTCAAGCTCGAAATCTTAAATCCGTCGAAGACTTGCTTCAGAGATTGCAAGACATCAACATCTCCAGAAACCCCATTGACAGAAGTTTTCCATCTCAAGCTGTCGCGCCGATGACACCAAACTTCAGCCATGCCATAGATAGAAATCTTCAACATAACGCTGTAACGCAGCATACAACACCAAATGATGCGCGTCAGCAAAGGCGTCCGTGGGAACAGTCAAGTTGCAACTCTAACCAGAACCAGGCGGTCCGCTTCACGGATGCCGAGGAGCAGTCGGGAGGTTCAGGACAAGAAACAAAAAAAACGAATAAAAGGGATGGTCAGTCTCACCCGAAGATGCCAAACGAGACTGCGTACTTATCTTCGAGCCTCTTACATATCACCGTTGATATTGATGGTCGTAAGACGCGTGCCCTTCTTGATAGCGGCGCCTCAATATCGATCATCAACAAGACAAAACCAGACGTATTAAAGACCTACTTAGGAGAAACAATTCAAGTTCAAAGTTATGATGGCAGAAAGAACCTTTATGAGGAATGTACAAATGTCACCGTCAACTTCGAGGGTCAAAGTTTTGAAGTTGTTGCTCTGGTGATTGGTGGAGTGCATTATGACTTCCTACTCTCACGGCCAGACATTAAACGGCTAAAAATGAACATCTACTGGAATGATAAAGTCACAGTCGAAAAGACGGCTGACCGCAGATGTTTGGCCTGCAATCGTCTAGGTACTCAGCCGCCAAAGCTTATTACTGCAGCTGAAGACATTCCTAAGTTATACCCTGAATTGTTCAGCATTGGCAGCTACCCTCCGGCTACCCCTGAATTTACGGTGCCCTTCAACATCAGTGACAAGACAGTGGTGCGTAAAAAGCCCTATAACATGACCAGACTGAAGAAGGTGTGTCTCAAGCAGGAGCTGCAAAACATGCTAGATGCAGACATCATCAGACCTTCGGTGTCTCAGTTTGCGTCACCTATCACTATCGCACCCGAAGAGGACGGTACCTTCAGGCTCTGCGCAGACTACCGTGCTTTGAAGAAGCAGACTGATCTAATTTCTTTCCCAATGCCACGAATGTAAGCCATCATAAATGAAACAGGAGGTTGCCGATGCTTTTCGCGAATTGACCTGTGCAAACGATTTTGGCAGGTGTCCTTACAAGAAGAAACCAAGGTGTACAGAGCGTTTACAACACCCATTGACCTGTACGAGTATAACCGCCTACCATTTGGCCGGAAGAATTCCCCTGCGTGGTTTCAGAAGATGATGAACCAGGTCCTGAAATCGTACCTGGGGAATTTTCGCAACGTGTACATCGACGACATCATAGTCTACTCAAAAACAGAGGAAGAACACCGGCACCACTTATCACAAGTGTTGTCAGCACTTAGCTCTGCAAAACTTGTGGGTCGCTCTACTATACTACTGCCCGATCGGTCCCTGCCTGGTCCGCCCCCCCCCCCCCCCCAAGACGTCACACGAGCAAGAATGTATTCAAAACGTTTTACTGTTTCGGCTGGTTGCTGTAGCCTTGCCGTTGCAGTCCTCGTCCGTGTGTCTTGCCCCAGTGCCTGGCGGAACCTCTCGTGCACTCTGTCACGCGCACCGGGCCGCCGGCCACCGCTCCTGCCCCCTCGCGTGCCGTCATCCTCCTCGGCTTCCCACACTTCCCCCCCCCCCCCCTCAATGCCCGGTCTTCGGGGGGCCCCGGGTGCTCACTGGTTTTGGCCGAGGAGTTGTTCCACCTCGGCCATGATGGCGTCGTCGGAAGTCGAGGGGGACGGAGAGGGCTGGTGGACGACACTGGCCCGATGGCTTGGGCCGCAGGATGTGGTGGCGGCCGGTGTTGTGGGGGCCGTCGTGGTGGCGGGTTCGATAACAGCGGCTGCGGCAGCCGGTGCGGCGGCACGGTTTTCGGGAGGCCGGGCTGGCTGGACGGAGGCCAAGGCAGCGGGAGCCAGGAGGTCCGGGCGGCTTGCCTTCAGGGTCTGGACCGCTGCCGCCACGTTGTCCGGGAGGGGTTGTGCCTCCAGCAGGTCAGAATGGAGTCGACCTGCTTCGTGGGTTTCCAGATGTATTATCGGGACCCCGCACAGCCAGCAGGTGTCAGGCGCTCCCAAGACCCGTGGCGCCGCCGGCTGCGTGTGGCCGCGGAACGGGAATGGGACTTGGTGGTCGGGCTGGCCAGGCGTTGGTCTGGGTTGATGCTTCCAACGCCGGCGGGAAACGAAGTGGACCGCCCCTCCTTCCTCCCACGCCGTCCACGTGGCCACGGTGTGGCAGGGGGGCCGACTCCAGGCAGGTCCCCCGGTCGTAGACGGACCCGCTCCGTGGTGCGGGGGCTCCGTCGCGGACGGCCCTGCCTGGTGCCGCGATGTTGCTGCGGACGGCCCTGCCCCGTGCCGCGCAGGCCTGCCGGCTGCCGGGCTCGCGGCACCTGCGGAGCCCGGGTTGCGCTGGCCCGCTCCGCCGTTCGGCCATCCCCAGTGTTGACGCCTCCCTGGGCGGCCGCCCCGAGGGTTTGGTCGACCGGACCACTGGGGTCCAGCCGCCCCGGGGCCTGGCCCGTCCGGTGGGCCTCCTGGGTATGGCCCCCTGGGGCGGTTTCTCCAAGGAGGCATCCTGTGTAGAAAGAACACTGTCAGACACCGGAAAATCATCACTTTCTGTGGCCGAATGTGGCGGCGGTGGTAGTTTTCATTCACTATGTTCCCCATCGCGACGGTAATACCCCTTCAAGTCCGCAATGTGAACTGGACCCGACTCCTCATTTGTATCCAACCGAGTGAGTTTATAAGTAAGCCGTGACATTCGCGTCTTTACCTCATAGGGCCCTTCCCATCTGTGAGCAAGCGATGCGGCGAAACCGCTAGCTGCGTTACTCAGAGGGTGGGTTCTCCTCAGGACCAAGTCACCAACCTTGAATTCCAAGTGCCTATGGCTCCTGTCATACTGCGCCGCTTGCTCGAACCTTCCGGCATCAAGATTCTCTCTGGCATCGTGCAGCGCCCCAGACAAGCGGTTCGTTAGCTGTTCCGCGTACCTAGAGAGCGGGCGTCCTGGTGTTCCTTGGTTGCTCCGTAACTCGTTCTCCAGCGGAGACGGGATCTCTTTACCCAGGTTCAGAAACGCTGGCGTGAAACCAGTCGATCTGTTCACGGTATTGCGAATGGCAAAACCCATCTCAGCGATGTGCTTATCCCAGTCTCGGTGTCTCTCCGTTAGCGTGATCAGCTTGCTTTTGATATTCCGATTCACACGCTCAGTGATATTGGCTTGGGGATGATACGGTATTGTCCTCTTGTGCTTTTTGTTCAGTGCCAAGCACGAGTCCACGAACACTTTACTAGCAAAATAACTAGCGTTATCACTAATGAGACACCTGGCTGTGCCGAGGCGCAGGAAAGTATCTAGTAACTTTTCCCAGATCCGCTTTGAAACCAGCTTCCTCAGTGGGTACAGCTCTGCCCACTTTGAGAAATTATCGGTAATAACCAAGAGGTACTGGTTTCCACGCGGACTTCTCGGCAGTGGGCCGATGATGTCGCAAGCGACGATCTCCCACGGGTAGTGACTCTCCACCAACTGCATCAAACCCGGAGGCTTGCCCCCTCTGGGCTTCGCTTTCTGGCAGGCTGGACAGCTGCGGGCGTATCGGAGTGCGTCTTGCCTCATCCCCGGCCAGGTCGCGGCGCGGCATAACTTATGAAAAGTCTTGCTGCACCTGCCATGACCTGCCAGAGCCGAGTCGTGAAGTACCCGATAAACCTCTTCCGTAGCTTCCTGGGAATCACCACCCAGAAGGGAGACTCATTACCCTCCCCTTCATCGATCGTTGGGATGTAGCGAAGCAATAGGCCGTCTTCGCCCAGCAGATATGAATCAAATTGATCATTAACTCGACCGCCAGCCTTCCCGGTGTCGACCGCAATTTCAGCCAGTTTACCCAACACCCGATGGCAAAAACCATCTGCTTTCTGGGCCTCGACAAGCTCTTCCTTGCTGACCACTTCACCCCAAGCGACGATCCTTTGCTCCTTCGTGCCGCGCGCTAAGGCTGCTACGAGTGCCGGTTGCTTCGCCTCCTCCCAACCGTCCGTGAGGGACCTCACCCCTGCATCCGGAGACATTCTCCTGTTCTTCCCGCGCTTCTCGTTACACTCCGGTTGCGTCACCTCCTCCCAACCACCATCCTGAGCCGCCCAAGAGAGCGCATCCGCGACCTTGTTGGTCGATCCCTTTCGGAAATTAACCGTGTACGAGTAGCGCTGCAAGGTTAGTACCCAGCGGGCCAGCCTTCCCGCAGGCTCTTTTAGCCTCTGAATTCAGGTAAGTGCTGCGTGATCAGTCTGAATAACGAAGTCGTACCGTCTAAATAGAGGTCGAACTTCTTCAGAGCAAACATGACGGCCAACCCCTCCTTTTCCGTCACGCTGTAGTTGCGTTCCGACGGTGTGAGCGTTCGACTAGCGAATGCCACAGGGCGCAACTGTCCATCGTGTTCCTGTAGCAATACTGCTTCGACACCGTAGTCGCTCGCATCGGTCTGCACAACAAAATGCCGATTAAGATCTGGTAACCGAAGGCTAGCGGTGCTTGCTATTGCCCTCGCGAGAGACGAGAAGGCAGCACCCTGCTCTGAACCCCAGGCCCTCCTCGAGCCTTTCCGGAGCAGCAGATTCAATGGCCGCGCCAGCTCCGCGCACATCGGGATGAACTGCCGGTAAAAGCCAACCATCCCCAGAAACCTTCGAAGGCTCTTTACATCGTGCGGTGGTGGATAATCGAGAATGGCCCTCAATTTCTCATCGTTCGGCTTCAAGGTACCATTGTCTATTACAAAGCTGTTGTGTATTTAATCTTTACATAATATATACATCACAAAATACAGCGGGCACAACCGACCGGGTTGGGGCCTGAGCAGTCGAACGTCTCGTGCCTGCGCGCGAGCACCAGTTCACCGGCATCCCTGGATATCCTCGGTTGCCAACACACAACATCCCTCCCCCCTAGGTCACATAGTCCTTTAGGTAGTCGGGACGTCGCCGTTGTCGCTGGGGACGATTTGACTGTCCTTGCGCAGGCGCTGAAGTTGGCAACTTCAGCGCCTGCGCAAGGACCTTACTACCAAAAGTGGATGAAGCCTTGGACAAGCTCATCAGGCAAGGCATTTTGGAACCGGTCCGACATTCCAGTTGGGCGACTCCAATAGTACCTGTGGTAAAAAAGGATGGCACAGTGCGAATCTGTGGCGACTACAAGAGTACGGTAAACCCTGTGGTCCGTTGGGAAAGCTACCCCCTACCCACACCTGAGGAACTTTTCGCGAAGCTGGCAGGCTGTGCAGGGTTTTCCAAGCTTGATTTAGACCAAGCGTACCTGCAGCTGACAGTTGACAGTGAGACAGCTGACCTTCTCACCATCACCACACACCGTGGACTTTTCGGTGTCACGCGCCTACAGTTCGGAGTAGCTGTTGCAGTCGCTATTTTTCAGAGGTACATGGAAGAGCTGCTGCAAGGGCTGGAAGGGGTGCAAGTTTTTCTCGATGACATCCTGGTAGGCGGTAAAGATGAAGCCGAGCACAACACCCGTCTGCAAGCTGTGCTTCAAAGAATTCAAGACGACGGTGTCCGGCTAAAAAGGGACAAGTGCGTTTTTGGAGTGGATGAAGTTGTATTCCTAGGATACAAGGTCAGCAAGGCAGGAATACAGCCGACAGACGACAAGGTCAAGGATATCCATGGGGCACCCAAGCCAAAATGCAAGAATGAGTTGCAAGCGTTCCTATGGGCACTCAACTTCTACAACAGGTTCCTACGGGGAGCGGCACACACTTTGGAGCCCTTGTACAGGCTGCTCGACAACGGCCATAAGTGGAGATGGACTACGCAGGAAGCAGAGGCTTTTCTGCGGGCCAAGCAGCTACTGCAGTCTTCGGACGCCCTTGCCCATTACAGTGTCCACCAGCCACTAGTCATGGCATGTGATGCCTCTCCGTACGGACTTGGGGTGGTACTCAGCCACGTTGATAGCGAAGGCCGGGAGGTACCGGTAGCCTATGGCTCTCGAACTATGACAGCTGCCGAAAGGAACTACGCACAGACAGACCGGGAAGCTCTGGCGATAGGTTTTGGAATACGAAAGTTCCACAAGCTCATCTACGGTCGGCATTTTCGGATCGTGACCGATCACAAACCTCTACTGGGACTCTTGCATCACGCAAAACCGATGCCTCAAGTGCTGTCGCCGAGGATGTTGCGATGGTCGTTAATGTTGTCGGCTTACGACTACGAGCTGGAGTACAGGCCTGCTCATCAGCTCAGGAACGCGGATGCACTGAGTCGACTGCCTCTAACTGTGGAAGACAGCTCAACTGACGAGAAACGTTTTGAAGTCCGGATGCTGGAGACTGCGCCGGAGGTTCCGTGGGATGCCCAGAAGATTGCCCGATGCACCCGGAACGACCCAACCTTGTCCAGAGTTCGACATTGGACGGGGGTTGGATGGCCTCAAGGCAGGCTGCCGGACGAGTTCAAGCCATTTGTTCGACGGCAGCACGAGTTGTCGGAGTATCGGGGATGCCTGCTGTGGGGATGTAGAGTCATCATTCCAGAGCAAGCGAGAGACCAGGTTTTGGAGCTGCTGCATACCACGCATCCCGGGATCGTCCGCATGAAGGCGCTTGCCAGAAGCACAGTTTGGTGGCCGGGTATCGACCAAGATATCGAAAGGAAGGTCCGAACCTGCCTGCCCTGCCAGGAGACAAGGCCGCAACCTGCACGTGCAAGACTGCATCCGTGGGAATTTGCCAGAAACCCATGGTCCCGAATCCACATCGATTTTGCAGGACCCTCCCAAGGAAAGGTTTTTCTTCTGGTGGTGGATGCGCATTCGAAATGGCTGGAAGTCATCCAGATAGCATCCATGTCGTCAGCAGCAGTGTGTCAAAGGCTGCGAGTGCTGTTCGCAACAGACGGTGTTCCCGACACTATAGTCTCGGACAATGGGACAGCGTTCGTCTCACAAGAATTTGAAGAATTTTTGCAGAGAAACCAGATCCGGCACGTTAAGGTGGCGCCATATCATCCATCGTCAAATGGCCAAGTGGAGCGCATGGTCCAAGAAACTAAACAAGTCCTCAGGCGCATGGAAGGAGGCGACATGGCCACCAAGTTGGCCCGATTTCTTTTGAGTCAGCATATTCTCCCGCACTCAACGACCGGAAAGAGTCCGGCGGAATTGTTGATGGGTCGGAGACTCCGTACTGCACTGGACCGGCTTCACCCAGACCTACAAGCAGAGATGGTGGACAAGCAAGAGGAACAAGCGCTGCGGGGAAGACAAGGTGTACGCGAATTCGAGCCGCGAGAACCAGTCTTCATCCGCAATTATTTAGCAGGCCCCAAGTGGCTACCCGGTATCATCACTGAGATCACCGGTCCGGTGTCTTACAAGGTTCGCACCATCGACGGTCGTTTCTGGAAGCTGCACGTGGACCAAATCCGGAGACGGGAGTGGAGCACATACCTGGACGAGGAGGAGCCTACGACAGAGCTGTCACCTCAGCAGCTCTCCTTACCAAGCGAGCCATCGCTTAGGAATGAATCGGTGGAAGAGTGCCCACCATCTACGAGTCAAGCGGACTTCCCTGAGGAGTCAACCCCAGTGGCAACACCTCCAGCTTCCCCACTACATTCACCTGCTTCACCCCATGAACCGAGACACCAAACAGTGTTGCCACTGGGGTTGACTCCTCAGGGAAGTCCGCTTGACTCGTAGATGGTGGGCACTCTTCCACCGATTCATTCCTAAGCGATGGCTCGCTTGGTAAGGAGAGCTGCTGAGGTGACAGCTCTGTCGTAGGCTCCTCCTCGTCCAGGTATGTGCTCCACTCCCGTCGCCAATGTTGTGTATTTAATCTTTACATAATATATACATCACAGCATACAGCGGGCACAACCGACCGGGTTGGGGCCAGAGCAGTCGAACGTCTCGTGCCTGCGCGCGAGCACCAGTTCACCGGCATCCCTGGATATCCTCGGTTGCCAACACACAACAAAAGCCTAAAAGATTTACCTTTGAGGCGGCCAGTTGCACCTTTTTTGGATTAATTGCTAGACCGGCCTCACTCATTCGCCTTAAGACGATCTCGAGATGAGTTAGGTGCTCTTAGAACGACTTGGAGAATACCACAACGTCATCCATGTAGGCCATGGCGAAGTTAAATTTCGCATCGCCCAGCACGATGTCCATGGGCCGTTGGAAACTCGACGGCGAGTTCGACAACCCAAACGGAAGACGCGTAAACTCAAATAACCCCCTGTAACAGGTGAACGCCGTCTTTTGGACATCATCTGGCGCCACCTGGATCTGGAGAAAGCCCCTGCTACAATCCAGCGTAGTGAAAACCCTCGCGCCTCCAAGCGAATACATTATAGACTCAATAGAGGGAAAAGGATACGCGTCCCTTCTAGTGACCTCATTAAGTCTTCGGTAATCAACGCAAAGGCGCGCGGTGCCGTCTTTCTTTGGCGCCAAAACTACTGGAAACGCCCAGGGACTCTGCGATGGCCGCACCGCCCCTGTGTCCAGCATCTCCTCGAGAGCCGCGTCTAGGAGGGCCCGTTTATGTACGCTTAGTGGTCTAGTATTACACCCCCACGGCCTGGCCTCTCCTGTATCTATCCTATGTTGTAAAACAGTCGTAAGCCCCGGTCTCTCGGTAAACATAGCTGCGTGTTGGGACAAGGCGTTCGCTAGCATCCGCCGTTGGTCGGCGGGCCCATCGAAAGACGCAATTATCATTTCGACATTCCCGGGCACGACTCGCGCAGCTAATACCTGCTCCTGGTGTGACGTAGCGAGCGAACGTTCAACTACCTGCACCACAGATGATGGGGCAACAAAAGGAATAAGAGGAGAAAATGCACTATAACAATACCCGTTGTTCCTCAAGTCCAGGATTATGCCCTCACGACAGACGAAGTCCTGCCCCAAAATAACAGGAATCGACATACCGGGCAAGTAAACGAAACGTTGCCTCCTTCGTCTGCCGTCAAGGCCAAGGTGAAGGCGCATCGCCCCTCGCGCTTCGGCCAATCCTGTCGCTAAACGCAGCGGAGTTACAAGTTCCCGCGCGCAAAGGTTTCTGTTACGGCAGTCCTCGTACACATTATCGCCAATTAGAGAAAGGGTAGAACCGGTGTCAATTAGTGCCGAATATTCTTTACCACCGATCTCTACACGCACGTACGGGCCCTTCTCAGGTGTCGTGCTCTGAGCCCGACACGCCAACGGGGCCATCGCCACGCGGTCGCCGGCCACAATTTCAGCCCTGTCGGCACACTGATACTGGGCCTCGGCAGCGGCCGGCAACCTCAACTCAGAGGACCTGATTAGTGGCGCCGGCCTCTGGCGTTTCCCTGGGAACCCTGAGAACCAG